CAAAAGAGCTGACGTAGGTAGACATCGATATGAGAGTCTGCTTAGCCTCGGCCATGTGGCCGTCGTGAAGGCTGCCATCGCTCGACTCATCAACAGCACTAACCTCTGAAGCGCGAGGGAAAGATCCCGAGGTCTCTCCTAGAAGTCGATAGAAGTCGAGCAATAGACGAGACTTGAAATTGAAATCGAAAATCGAACTCGGCCGACGGAACTGCGAAGGAATGATGCGTGACTGAACAGGAAGCCGGTGACTTCATCGACTGTAGTCGACACTTCGACAACTTCAGGTCGCCGAGAGGCGAGAGGCCCGACTAGAGAAATCGAGGGAGTCAATCAATCAATTAGAAGGAGATTTGCAATGATTTTGTGATCAATCATCTCGATCGACCCCTTTACCGTATGATAGGGGGCTCGAGTCTGTTCAGCCATCTCCGGGATCCGAAGAACTGTCCGACGTCTCACGAAACCATTGACGCAGTCAGGTTCTCGTCTACCGTGTCCGAGATCGTGCAGAATTCGATGAGACCACTCGGAAGACTTCGACATCTCCGTAGACTTCATCTCGACACGCTGTACACGACGACGTCGCGTATCTTGAAGTTTGAGCCACTTACTCAAATGATCGGTCGCGAGAACTAGCTGGCTAACCCGAGTTAGCTTGTGCCACCGAACAGACTCCACGGGACGGAATAAGTGTACTTCGTGGATTTCCCAAACGCTGTTATATTCTTAACGGCGCGTGGGTTCGTTGGCTAAACTGATTGCGGACCAACACATTTTGTGGCACTCACTGCGCTTTTCAGTGTTCGGCCATCGCCGATTTCAACCGCGGCTGGGGGAGCGTTGAAGACACCTTCTGCAGCTCCAGCCGGCGAACAGGTGAGCAGGTCGAGTTAGAAACGAAGCCGATTCTTAGTCCTCCATAGCCAGCGTGGCTCCGAAAGCAAGTATATGACTCACTACTCCCGGCGGCATGCGATTCCGGCAGTCAACTAGAAACCTCCACCAGCAAACGTGACATGAGTACACCCCGAATCGATAGATATCCCCCTCGAGACAGGGTTTAGGTCTAGGGTCTAGTTCTGGCGCGTCGCCGCCAAGCAGCGACCGAGAGCGATAGTGAAGTCCAAGAAAATTTATTAGCGACGATGACATGACTCCTGATTCTTGGAGTCGCTCTCACTCGAATTTCACAGATCCCGGCTAGTCAGCTCAAGATGGAAGACGTAAGCGATCATTGATCAGGTTTAGGGCAGGGTTGTTTTCTGGCAGTAGTGTTAGCGCAAACGCTAACTCTTCCGATGGGCCTGCAAAGCGAATTCACATTTCATCAGACTGCTAAATTTTCTCGCAGAGCGAATCGTTCGGCGTTTTTCGATATCATTGTCGATATCATTGGCTGTGTCGCTTCTCCCACTCAAGCGTAGACAATCCTGGGTTTGCAGCCGTTCAGAAGCTAGCGTATGAATGAAGACCGAACTGCTAACTCCTTCGAAGTCAGTATCGAGAATCGAGCTTCCTTATTCGGCTCGTGATTGCCTCTTCCCCGGTGAGCTCAGTTCAGTCCGTTCCGTACTGCTTAGACTGTCCACAGAGCCCAGAGCTCCGGTACTTGAAGCTGTCTAGTTCATGAGAGATCAAGGGCGTATCGCGCTAAAGCGTTGACTGAAGTCGAGGATTTGTGGCGTCTCTCGATGACCTCGACTGCGCACGATATTTGGAATTGATTGTCAGCCATGTACGAATGCAGGAGTCGAGTATCCGTAAATCTACTGCTCGAAGAATTTCACTCTCACTACATAAATGAGCGACGATGCGGACATGTCGGGTCACATAGCTACGGTGGAGGCAATGGCCCAGGATCTGACTGATATTGGGCATAAACTGATCCGAGTCATGCGATTGCAAGGATGTTGGAATTGCCGAAAGGATATCTCCATCTAGTGTCAGCATGAGATGTACTCGATGCGAGCAAGGAAAAAATGGAAAACGAGTGATTCCTCGCTTCTTGGAAGCTAGGAACTTGGATTCAAATGGCTCATCGAAGGTTGCTGATTCGGATTCACTTGCCTTTTCGGCGAAACCGAATCAGAAGTATGGTCAAAAACCAAAGTTCGTTGAGAAATGTTCCAAGAAGAATCGTTGTCCTCTCCTGAGTCGTGGAGCAGGGCGCCTCTATGGAAGTCAAGAAGTCAAGCCAAGCACCAAGTCGATCTCTCGAGACTTTGGAGGTCGCCTCTCGCAGAGACTACCTCTTCAATGCTCAGCATGTTTCAGCGAATACTGGTTGGCCGATAAGGTCGCGGATCGACATATATCTCATAGAAGAGACTGGTTCCTACAATATCAGAGTTTCGACCTGTGAGGTCAGCGAGCTGTCATGTTATGCATGGTATCTCTTTATGGTATATAAGGGCAAATGTCAATTCGCTCTAAGTGGGCCTTCAGGGTGAAGTATCGTACGAACGGTTCGGTTGATAGACAAAAGGTGCACTCAAAGATAAGAGAGTGTTCACAGGAGGCTGGGGTGATCATTCCGATACGTACTCGCCCTTGACAAAGACGACTCCAATCCGCTGTCTCCTGTCCATGAGATGTGTGAGTGTCTCGTATTGAGACGTGACTACCGCCTTCCTTTACAGGGGGAGTGGACGAGAGTATCTACATGCAGTAGCCCGAAGGCTTTAATGATGGCAGCGGTCGAGTGTGTAAGCTCGAGAGAGCTCAGCATGGTCTCAAGCAGAGCCCATTTCAGTGGAACAAGAGGACTTTGGCTGTTCTCAAAGAGTTGAACTTGTGCCTTGCCTCCGGGATCCCTGCGTCTATGTCGGGAAGAAAGATTGTCTGATGTTCGCTGTGTATGTCGACGAAGGTCTCTAAGCCGCACCAAGGATCGAGTCAATGAGTTTCTGGACTTGCTTCAGGAGACCCCCAAGATGACCGGTGGACAAGCCGGTTGCTTTATCGATTCAGAGATGCTTCGAAATCGTGGGCAGAAAACTCTCAAGATTCATCAGAACATGAAAAAACTTCTGGAACGTTTCTCGATGGTAGATTGCTATCCGGTGAAAACTCAGCGCTGCTCGATCTACAGATCCAGCAAAATGTAGACGAAGACGGAACTCAATAGATTCGAGAGAGAGTTCCATACCGAGAACCGCTGAATTCCGCTATCGTTGTTCGAGCCGAGATGGCATACATAGTCAATCAACTTAAGTACCTGGATTCTCCTCCGAAGGATCACAGGTTAGTAGCGGAGCGCATACTTAGACACTCGAAAGATACCATTGGCACAGGCATCGATTGGTACTTCGCTGTCGCAGCCAAGAATCACTTAGTAGCTTTCAGTGACGCCAGTTGGGCTTCTGACCCCGAGGCTGCGAGGAAATCAGTGACAGGAATCTGTCTGATGGTGAGCAGCGGTTGGTTGGAAGTCAAGAAAACAGACCATTCTTACGGACTCCACAATTTACACAGAATACGAAGCGGTGCACTCAAGTTCCAGAGATCTCGTCTCGTTGCGGGGTCTGTTGGAAGAACTTGGCCGCAAGCAAGAGAGTGCGACCTACCTATTCATGAACAATCCAGAGTCTGAACTATTTAAGACGAATTCCGCGCAGCTTTAGAGGACGAAACATGAAGACATCGAGTTCAGTTTCGTGCGCGAGAAATAAGAAAAAGATGATAGACATGTGTTTACGAAGGATCAGCTTGCTGACATCTTGACCGAAGTTCTCCCTCCTCTGAAGTTCGAGCTCATGATACGTCGAATCAGTCGAAGTGAGGCTTCCCGGATGTCTACTAGTGGGGAAGTTGAGCTCTTTGTCGCAATCGACAGAGTTAACATTGTCAGGATAGTAGGTTAGTGGTGACTTTGTACTTATGAACTCACTTGCGAACTTTCGTTTATACAGAGCCTCGATCGGAAAATATATCAGCATCTGTTTTAATTTATCCGAGGGCCGAAGGCGACACACTAGGAGAAGATAATTTGAATAAATAAATGGGAAACATGGGTATTGCATCATCGATCAAGTCATGCGACACTCACACGCCGGAAATATCTGGTTTTCGCCCAAGTCCGTGAGTATAGCCTCAGTTTGAATACGATCCTCGTCCGTCCTCGCACCTCTGAGGACCACTTGATAATGGAGAAAAGGACGTTTCCCTGGAGGAATAACGCACCGATCGAATAAGCGTATGAAGAATGAGACATCTCCGTTATATCCAGTTGACGAAAGATTATATTGAAATCCATGTCGAAGTCATTTGTACGACTAGTATTGGAGATAGACGTCTCCAGAAGGAAGACTCTCGCATTCCCTCGGCGAGCTTTGCTTCACAATGTGCAGAACGTTCGAAGCAAGTGACACTTCCGAAGCAAGAAGACTATGAACCTTGATCTGATGTTTGCGAACATCAAGAAGTCCCCGGAGGAGTTTCACCTAGACACTTTTCGCATGATTCATTCTGCGGTCAATAATAGAATCTGAGGGTTCGGAGAACCGCATTTGATAGCTTTGGATGCCTCAAATTTCGGGAGTATACGCAGAGCAAGACAAAAATTGTGCTAGCGAGATCTACGAAGAAATGATCGTGAAAATCCTGCTCCGGTCAAAGGTGGCAGCGCCAAATCTCAGACTTCAAACGTCCAGCCCCCATCAGTAGAGTTTCCATTTAACCGGAGATTTCGATTCTGCGATTAAGCACCGCGTGCGCTAGAATGTCGAGAATGGCTGCTTTGCCGTTGTTTAGACTTTTCGATAACTATTCCGGCTCACGGACCATCATTCAGCATGGATACGAGCCCGAAGAATGAGTCTAAGCCGTGAGGCCAGAATCAAGATGTCCAGTTAAATAGAAACTCTACCCATCAGGGCATATTGTACTCACATGGAAGTACGTGGTTTCTTTGTTTTGAACCCTTCATACTTACTTGATGGGATGCAATTACCGAGGTCCTTCCAGAAAGCAGTTACTAATAAACCGGCTGTATTCTCCCGGACTGAAAGCAAAGAACACTTATAGGAAGTGAGTTCATGAGTTTTTTCTTTATTTCTTTTCATTTATATATCAGTAATTTTCCAATAATTTCGATAGGTTGAAAGAACAGGAAGAGTTTCACTGTTACCAGTGAGACAGTCGAACCCGCTCATACGAGACTCTCCGGGAAATCGGGATCAGGTTATCTCTTATAAGCGGCTCCGACTGTGGATGGAGAGATGACTCACGAAGTGTTTTTTTCTGTAGTACAAAGTTTCTGACGATCATCGAAGGGTTCCGGGGACCCCTGAGGCTTGTCCATGTCGCTCCGGGATGTAAAGCTGATCATGTGCCAAGCCAAACCAGAGTTACTCATTGCCTATTTACCGCTCAACGAGCCGTCGTCGTATGCTGACGGCACTTCAGGAATAGAAAGCCAGCTGAGGTGCACCCCCGGGGTTTGTTGTTCGTTGTTGCTGATGTGCGCAACAACGAAAGAACGGCTTTCTCAAGAACGGAAGAATGCTTGCTAATAAACACCGTTCTGGGAACGTATGTTGGACAATGGGAGAGTCGTTCCTCAAGAACGCTATAGAGAAGCTCCCATCGGTGTAAATATTGAGGGGATTGTTTGTGCGAGAGACGACGAGTCTGCGAGAGGCGAGAGAAGACGCTCATTGGTAGATAGCGACGATGATGACCGTGATCTATGTCTGGCGCCAGACCCAAATCGGATCGCTTCCCTTCCTCCAATAAGGCCTCTAAGCCGCACCAAGGATCAACTCAATGAGTTTCTGGACTTGCTTCAGGAGACCCCCAAGATGACCCGTGGACAAGCCGGTTGCTTTATCTATTCAGAGATCCTTCGAAGTCGTGGGACAGAAAACTCTCAAGATTCATCAGACTGCGCACATGAAAAAACTTCTGGAACGTTTCTCGATGGTAGATTGCTATCCGGTGAAAACTCAGCGCTGCTCGATCTACAGATCCAGCAAAATGTAGACGAAGACGTAAATCAATAGATTCGAGAGAGAGTTCCATACCGAGAACCGCTGAATTCCGCTATCGTTGTTCGAGCCGAGATGGCATACATAGTCAATCAACTTTCGAAGTTCCTGGATTCTCCTTCGAAGGATCACAGGCCAGTAGCGGAGCGCATACTAAGACACTCGAAAGGTACCATTGGCACAGGCATCGATTGGTACTCCGCTGTCGCAGCCAAGAATCACTTAGTAGCTTTCAGTGACGCCAGTTGGGCTTCTGACGATACACGCTCCCTAGACGAATCGGCGCTCATGCTGCTGTGGGCTGCGAACACCTATTGGATCGAGCATCACGTGCCACCGGAAAGGGATAAAGAATTCGCGGATGGGATCCGGCATACCGATGCCCACTTCGAGCAGTATCCCGTAACGGCGAAGACACCGAGTCCGCATCGCCGCGCCAGACTTTCAGAGTAGAAGTCTCTTCGGTCTTAGCTGCAGAGTCCTTGACTTTGCGAGAGATCAGACACATACCTCCTTATGAGTGATACTAGCTCAAAAACGGGGACTCTTCCGGATGAATCTCACGAGTTTGATTTGCAGCGCTAAGCGGAATAATTGGGCCAGATACGGCTCGAGATAGGGTGATTCCCCTCTGAATGACAGCATCGGCTATGACCGTCTCGAGCGTGCAGGACCCTGAATCCTGACGGTTCAAGAAGAACGAGAGTCTCAAAAGCCTAGTTTTCTCGAAACACGGATCTCGGGGCCGTGCGTCGCGCACTGAAGCATACGAGTGTCGAGTCGTGGCGTCGGGAGGTCGTGCGGCGCGGCCTTCCAATCGTAAATTCAAAAGGCTGTGTTCTGGTGGATAAAGCAGTATGAGTGGAACCTCGGAGTGATAAACTTGAACCATTTCCAGCGCCAGCTCACACACAAGCGCATTCATGCTCACTCAGTCAACGCAGTGCAGAGGAGGCCGACATCTCTGTCGCCCCAGCCCTCGCCCTAGGAGCTGTCATTCCTTTTGGCTTCAAGCTGACGAAGCAGGGGTGCTCCCTCCCTCTGCGCCAGAGAATCCTCAAAAACAGTCGAAACCGACACGCGGAGCCGAAGACAGAGCTTCGCAGCTCGGGGAGACATCTATACAAGGGGGAAGAACTCCTGTGCCGACTCGGACTCCACGGAGGAGCGAACAGTGCATCCGAAGTAAGGAGGACAGAACGAATCTTGGAGGACTGGAACAAACAACGATGCGCCGAATTCCGCGCCTGATACCTGATACGAAAGGTCGATCAATATTGGATGCCTACAAACAAATCGCTCTCACGGGCAACATGACACGTGACTTCCTGCTCCTTGGAGCAAGCGATCAAATACTTCGTCGACGGCTACCAGTACTTCTGGCGACCGATTGCCTCGAGATCATGTGTCATCTCTGGCGATCTCTTCTGGGTCCGGAGGTGCAAACGCTCCCGCATAGATACGCGGAGTCTCGGTCAATATTCTTCTTGGACATTTAGGCTGCAGCGGAGGTCAAAACGGGAGACCAAGCTCGCATTCTTGAGGCAAATAGCAACTGCTCGTGCTCCATGCGGGGGTCGACCGCGTACCGAAGCGTGTCCATGTGTATCTGCCTGCCGCCATATCTTCGGCTATCCTCGGGGATGTCGAGAGCATAATATCGTCCACCCTAGACGAGTTACAGACACACTTCTCCGCTCACTGTGTTCATTTGCCGATAATCTTCACATTGCCGACGAGCGGAGAGCCATTCCGGTACATTTGGGCTTGAATGGGGAAAAATTGTCGGGTGTCCTTGTCTAACTCGAGAATCTTCTCTCTCCTTTTGAAAAGAGGGCATGTGAATGTGTCTTGGAGACTCGTTCGACGGCGGCCCTTCTTTGGCTGCACGAGTACTTCCCGCATCTTCGTACAGGCAATAGTATGCGAGCTTTCCGATCTGTCTCTCCCTCTTGTTCGGTTTTTTGCGTTCGGGCGCGGCAATTCGCTTGCGGGAATAAGATTTCCCGATAAGGGGATCACACCCCGTTCCCCGTTATCGGATCGGGGGTGCCATGGATGATGTTTAGAAACGTTTTCCTCCGATGTCGTCCACGACCACTGCCGCCGAGTTGGATCCATGTCGGGAGCGAAGACGCCTCTCTGCTGCGCGCCCCTCCAAGCGCCCGCTCTCCGACTCCAGGATTCGTTCATTCTGTCTGTAAACACAAACTTGAGAGAGGGAGGTCCGCGCCGCCGCGATTCGTAACACTCGAATTCGTAGCTCCTCGTAACCCATCCTTGTTCGAGACGGCTTGTCAGTATGTCCATGGACCCTTTGTATGTTCACTCGGTCTCCTGAGGACGATCGCCTCAAATTGTTCAACTCAGTAACTCGAACGCTTCCCTCGGTCAAGGGCATATTGTTTCCAACGTCTCTCATGGTCTGCCGCAAGGATGTGACTCACTCAATTGGTCATCAGCTTTCGCAATTAGCGTTTCCAGCTGTAAGTCTGAAGTGACGGTGGCATGGCTCGGGGAGGAACTGCGCCTTTGGGATCGTTTATATATTTTTTTTGTATATCTTCTTTGTCGCCCCCTGTTCGCTGAACTGGACCCGGGAACAGATTCCGAATAAGAGGTGTTCGATTGCATTGCAGGGGCGGATTTGAGTCAGAAATGGTTCTGGTGCATTTGACGACTGGAGTCCGAGAGCTCCACATAGTCGCCAATATCAATAAGAAAATAATATGTGCTTCTTGTGGACAGCTCTCTCTCGACCCGCATCTGATGAGTTGCGGCAATGTTCTCTGTCCCGATTGTCTCACGTCGGTTTCCCTACAGGACAATGTCTGTCCCTGTGGAACAGTGTGTGGACATCCATTCAGTTTCAAAAATTTCGAGCTGCAAGTTCTGAATCTGATGGTGAAATGTCCCAATTTCTCTGATGGTTGTAGGGCATTAGTGCCCATAAGGTGTGTAGATGCTCATCTCAGGAGGTGCGAAAGATCGAAACCGTACGTTCAGTACCCAGATTTCGAAGCCGATATTCATAGAATCGTCGATAATATAGCCGACACTGTGAGTGTCGCAGTCGATTTGGGCTTCCCTATGAAATTCGACACATCTGGAATTCGGACTTCGGGACTCGCTCTATCCGATTCGACCAATCTGGGCGGCTCCCGAGCCGTGTCGGGGGGAATTTCATCGAGGAAGGCTTGCAACGACTTGAACTCGATGAGCGAAAACCCTGCAACTAGGCTCAAGTCAGTCTCGCAACGCTCGACAGAAGCCTCGTTCGATCAGCCCAGTGGGTGTATCCGGTCACAGGACGGGAACGACCCGAGATCCATCAAGCACAATCGGAAGAGCTGCTCGAAACCTTCGGACTTCGCTCGGAGTGCGAACCCGCCAACTGTGCAAGCGACGTCCAAGAGCAGAACGCATCATAAGAAAATGAATGAGAACGACACTCTGTACATGGACGAAGGTGTTCTGAAACTTTTGGAATCGGGTGTTTCTGGAAGAACCCGCCGAGTTAACAAATTTGGCCAGGAGACGAAGGATCATGCCAAAAGCGACTCTATAGAGCCGCACGGAGAAATAGATCGCACAACTTCAACACCGAGGCGCCTGCCGGCGACCAATCTCTCAGCTTCGAAAAAATATGCGGATGTGCCTCTGAAAGCCTTGAAAATCGTACTTGAACGGATTCCTGACGAAGTCTACCGGAAATATACTTCTGAACATATCATTTGTTCACCTGCTAACGGAAAGCATCAAGCGTCGATGGTTCCTAGTCAGACTGCGAGCGCCCGCAATACAGATCTCAAGTCGAATCAGATCGCTACCAGCCCTCATAAAGGGTCCGAGACGAAAAGAGACGCTTCGACGTTCGGGGAGAAAGATGTCATACAAAACACACGTCAGAGCAGCGATTCCGAGAGAAGCAAAATAGCGGAGAATATAGTAAAACCTACCCCTACAGACTCGAGAACGACGGCAAAAGTACCTCCGAAAACCATCGTCGCCTCGACAGCTCCGAGTGAGCTCCTACTGGAGCGCCCGACAGGGCTAATTCGAACTTCTGGACAAGCTGACCGAGGAAAGGCACCTGTTCTAACGGAAGCAGCTACCACAGCCGCGGTAGTCCCCGGAGTCAAGGATCCTATTTCGAAGAGGAAGCACTCTCCTCTTGAAGAGCAACGCTTGTTCGATAAGACCTCGGCCGCGGGGGGGGCTTCGGATCATTGGCATAAGAACTCGATGGATAGTAGCTCGCTTGATCGACCTTCCGAAGTTCCGCGAGGGGACGCTCCCTTACGGAAAATTATCCGGGTGCCGTCCTCCGGAACATCGAATAAGATGTCGAAAGCTCAAGTTCCTCAAGTTGTGACAGCTGTCAATGACGGGTCTCGTCCAGAGAGGCATGCGCCGAGTTCCCATGGTTTCTCGAAGCGCTCCGATCGCACGGCGGATCCGAGCGATACGGTAGCTCCTGACGAAGCTAGTCTCAGTCAGTCTTCGGCGGGGACTCGAGGGATGAGCACTGTTAATGCTGGGAAACACGATGCGAATGCCGTTCCAACGGATCGACTCGCAGCGCCTTCCTCCCAGGAGAAGAAGTCTCGCGTCGAGGTTGGGAGTAGGATTTCGACTCCATTCAAAATTCCGCGGAAGTCGTCGAAAACCCCCGAAGTAAGTTCTGGAGCTGCAGCACAGGGCGTATCCGCGACAGAGTCTGGGAATCCCGGAAAGTCACCTTCTCCTCGACTCACGAAGATTCTGAAGAGGAAGCTAGCATTGCAAACGAATCGGCAAGGCTCGGAACGATCGGCAGAAATCGAGAAAAAACGCTCCCGACTCGATGGATGCCGCTCGTCGGCGATTTCCTCGCCGAGTCAAGGCGTCTCTGAGCGGGCCAGGAATGATAATATCGATGGAGTATTTCTTGCCTCGGAAAATGCTATCCATCGAGAGAAGATTCCGTCGGCAACGACAATTGGCTCTGAATGCTCTGAATTAGATCAAAACCAAAGCAAATTGAGCATACCTATTCTCATTCCCTTGGAGCCGCAAGTCGCCGTCAAAGAGACCGTGCCCCATCAGGCTCAACATCGCCCCACCGCGCGACCGATCCTGGAACTTGACACAATCAATCGGAGATTGTGGGAGGATCCAACAGAGAGCTCGCTGGGTGATGCTCAGAGCTCGCGTACTATAAAAGATGGAAGAAGCTCGTCATCACCCTCGTCTTCCTCATCACCCCCTCAGTCACGACCATGGCCTCGACCGGAGTCGATACCCAAGAAAAGGCACAATGACCAGCACGATGGCAGCGATCTTCGCGCGGAGCCGCCCTCCGTTGCTCAAGCATTACAAACCTGGCGAAAAATTCATTGTCTCCTACCGCTCAGGGCAGATCCGAGGCGCACCGCCGACCCGCGATCAGTTGGTGCCGCACAAAAACCTACTCCCATGCTTAGTGGCTCAAGCGATATCGTCCATCTTCGCGGTATGTCTGATGCACATTTTTCTCCTTGCTGTATAGAAGGATTCTCAGGAGGGAGGAAAATTCGACTAATGAGGAATTCCTTTTTTCCAGATCGACTCAGCTCGTCTTGGTTGGGCGATTCTGTCGCCGAGACAAGCAGCTTCTGGAGTTCTCGAAAGTAGGCCAACCTGAGGCTGTCTCCGATCTTGTACAAAGTTGTTTGTGTTCATTAGTAGCGCCAATGCGGCATAAAAACCACGTGGCGTCATTTCTTTATTTCAATATGGTTCACATTTACTCGGAGATGGGGAGTCCTCATCTAGGAGGAGCAGCGATTATTTCTCTTGTATCCCGGCTCGCAGCCGATCAGACAGTCAAGTGCGATGGGATCGGGACTCTGGGAGGGGGACTTTCGCAGGCGCGTAGATGGAGGGAAATGGTTTATATCGCGAGACAAACCAAAGACGAGCTCGGAGCACCTTTTCCTCCCCCGAGAAGCCTGCCGAAATTTCAGGATCTCGAATTCTGTCCACGTAAAGCACAGATCACCATCATCAGCGTCGGAGAGAAGTATCCGTCTGCACTCGCTTCGCGAACGAGACCTGCTGCCTTATCGGCGTTTTTCCTCAGCCATCCTCAGCCATGTCAGCTGGTGCTGTGACAATCCTCGATTTCCACTCTATATTGATTCCCCCATGGTCCAAGCTTGAGAGGCTTCATTTTGTGTTGTAAGAATCCGTCTGCCCCTGGATTGTAAGAAAGGTAAGGTAGTGCCGGAAGGATTACAGAGATGGCGGCGCAGCCGGCCTCGCCAGCCAGGCAGTCCATAAACATTCGACAAACTTCTAACGATTCGTGCACAGAATTCCTATGATTCTCCCTCATGATTCACGGTCTTCTGAAGCGGAGTATGTTGTGACTGCTAAGTTCTCATTCACGTTTCCTGACCGTTGCGATGGGTGTGGCAAGACGCTCCGACAATAGCGTATCGTATGAGTGCGTGGGCTACATAGTCGACTAAAGCAGCCAGTTCTCGCGACTTGCGCTAGAGCCGTGATTAAGCTCACAATCCGTTACTCAAGTTCTGTGGTGTCAAGTGAGATTTCGATGACGACGGTGTGCTCCGGCGCGCCCCCTCGAACCACTGTTGAGGCTTGAGAAGGTTAGCGCTTCGAATATCTTCAATAATTCTGATTGTTCCACAGTGTATATCTGGAGGTTTCGTCATCAAAGCTTTCATGTTCGGGTCTCACTCAAGTGATCGCGATTATTCGGCCACTAGCAGGGCCAGGTAGAGTCCCGGAGCTGTAAGAATCCCTATCCTGCTCGATCCGATGAAGCACAAATCGGATGATCAACCCGTCAGACGGTCTTCGAAAATGGATCAGACTGCATTTTCTCCGATCAGGCTGGTGGATCCCCATCCTCCTGCAGGGGTGAATTTGACAGGCGTACCGCGACGCGTGAAAGACCGTTGCGCCGATATTTACAATGTCCACAAAAAATGGCAGGAAAACAAGCTACTCGGAGCAGAACTGATCAAGAGAATCGCCGACAAGCGGAATAGATTATCAGAAATCCCTGATTTATGCGACAGTCTCCTGGGAGTCGTCGACAATTTGGAAAAACTCGTCGACATCCTGACAAATGCTGCGCAAAACTTCGATTCTCTGGTCAGAATCGATAATTTATCCTCGAGCTCTTCGGCTCTTTCCTCCCAAACAGGAGCAGGAGACGGAGCTCCCTCGATGCGATCCGATCGGGCAGTGTTCGTCAATCTAAGTCTCGACGATTTCGCAAGGATGGTCCGAGCTATCGAAGAAGCATTCCGAAAAGAACTCGTTCTCAAAAAGGAGGTGGCGAGGCAAATTCCGCACCAGACCAGTAAAAACGTGTTAATGTTTTCGTCGCTATGCTGGATGTTCGATCCACACGTCGACGAGAGAACTCGAGCTACAATTCTCTCTCTGGTGGCCGAATGTGGGTTCAAGTGAAGATCTCTCTGAGGAACTCTACAATCATCAAGTACTTCTGTTCTCATCGATACGAATAAAAAGCAGATTCGATTAACTTTCTGGAGCGTTGATTAGTCTTAGCGCCTCATTTCCCGAGTAGCTGCCAGTCAGCTTTGTGAGCCGGAGCAAGATCGTCCCGAGAGACATCCGGCCCCTCTCTGAATTTCCCGGGTATCCGAGGTGAAGACTCGAAGTCCAGTGGTTCCGAGTGTGCCAAGGAGGAAGCGATTTTGGAGCCTTCTCCCTGAGAATTTCTTCGATGCCGAATGTCGGCTATAATTCGCCACGCATTCCGACCTCCAGGGTCATTCTAGGATGGACAGGGCCATGTTTTCTCCTTCCTCATGTGGTGGGTGGTCTGATACTTGCTGTGTACGCAGTCAGCGAGCCCCTGTTGCGGCGGCGGTTGTTCGGGCTGCGCCTGTGGATTTTTCTGCTGGTCTCTTCTGAAGCACCCACCGGGCGGGAAAATGCGGCCATTTCGGCGACGGCAGCCACAGATGGAACTAGCTGCGTGCTCGTACACTAGGTCCCCACTACGACGGTGCGCAGCGGGTGTAGTCTCTGTCGGGATTGCTCGCGTTCCGGCGAAAGTACCAATAATTGAGCTCATGATCTGGGCTGTATAGTGAAACTCTCTGGAATTTTTGATTGACATCCAGCCTCCGACTCCGTTCGGATCGGGAAGGGACTCGGGGAGCTAGAATGCTCTGATTCCTAGAAGCTCGCTGCACCGCTACATCAGCACGACCCGAGTTGGACAGGACCTCATCCCACAGTGTGCGTAGGTTTGAGCGAGTGTCGTAGTAGATTCCCTGGAGGAGGGGCTCGTGAGAACAAGCTCAGGAATCCGTCGGGAACTCCAGGAGAAACTCAAGCCAAAGACTCACAGTCAGAGATGCGGTTGTCGAACCACTCCTCGCTGAAAGGCTCCAGAACTTTTCCCGACCATACGAGGCTTGCCTCGGTGAGTTTGTCAGGCGAAGGATTTCTCGACGACTTCCTCGGCAAGATGGATAAATTCGTGATGTGTTCGTCCATGTGAGCCTCCGAGTCGAGTCTACCCGGCTCAAGTCGACCGAATACCTACTGATAGGGATCAATCAAACCATCAATCATCTGAGAAGTCTCAGTCATAGCGACCAATTTTATTCTCCTGCTGATTTCTGCGTTTTTCAGGGGAAAGTGATGCTCGAGGAGTCAGACGATCAGGCCGCTCTTCCGGCTCGGTGGTGCACCCGGAGATTTTGTCGTCGTTGTCCTCGTGGTCTCCCTCTCACTTTATCCTCCGTCTATATGTGTGCGAGAGCCTGACTGACTGCGTGCTGCCGCTGCCGCTGCCGCCAACTCTACTGCTGTCTCCGAAAAGGTTCCCTCCGAGGCGGTCCGTGGCTGAGCTTGCCTCCGCTGTTGCGAGCGTGACGGTCTGCTCGCCTAGCTGCCGAGTTGACTGACTGACTGACTGGCTGGGTGCCCGCCGGCCCATCCGGCCGCCTGCCCTCAGAGGTCTCCTCTGCGTAGTTTCGAGTTCTCTTCTCGAAATCGGACCTAGGGCACCAGTCAGCCACCCAGCTAGTCAGCCAGCTCGCTCTAGGCGGTTAGTCGGAAAAATGGTAGTTGTAGTGCACCAGTGCATCCCGCGACGGCCAGCGTTAACGTCAAAGTAAAGTTTCTCGCGATTCGGCAAGTTGAAGTAAAATCGAGCCGATTCCTCGACCCAACCACCGGAAGTCATCCATCCCCATTTCGTGAACTCCGTCATTCGTTATGGAGAGTAAACATAAACTCAAACACCGATTCGATATCGTTCGAAAACTCGGGCAAGGAACCTATGGAAAAGTACAGCTGGCGATCAACAGAGAAACTGGCCAAGAGGTATGTCCAAAACTTCTCGGAGTTTGATTAAGCGACAGCAAGTGTCCACGCCCGTCTGTTCTCATCCACCATCGTGATCTCGCTCGGACTGAGCCAATAGCCCGCGCGAGGCTACGTGCTCTCGTCTAAAGAAAACTCCCCCGACGTTTCTTGCGATCGAAACCCGAATTCGTGTTGACGGGGATTTTATTTTCTTTCCGTTGCGCAAGTGCTCGCCTTCGGCTGTGTCGAATGAGGTCCGACGACGTTGTAGGCGGCATTAGGGGGTCTTGGGCAGAGCGCTAGCGAGTCGGCCGAATCACTGACTCAGTCAGACGGACGGGAAGCACCCGCACACACATAATTCGTCGGAGTTATTGCGTTGCATCTTGCATCTATATGCGAGGGATTGAAATGTACCGTATGAGTTCATCTGTAAGGAGGTTCCTTTGACAATTCCAGGTCGCTATCAAGACGATAAAAAAGTCCAAAATTGAAAATGAGCAAGACGCCGTCCGTATTAGACGGGAGATACAAATCATGTCTTCGATACGCCATCCGAATATTGTACATATCTACGAAGTATTCGAGAACAAAGACAAAATTGTTCTCGTGATGCAGAATGCCTCCGGAGGCGAACTCTACGAGTACTTGAGCGAACGCAAAATTCTAACCGACGCCGAAGCCAGGAGAATATTCAGACAGGTCGTAGCCGCTGTTTATTACATTCACAAGAACAAGATTTGTCACAGAGATCTCAAGTTGGAAAACATACTGTTGGACGAGAAAGGCAACGCAAAGGTTGGTAGTTTCATCATTCCGCCTGGAGCTCCATGAATCGTGATGAAGTTGTCATCGACGTCGGACTACGATACTCGAAAAGTTCATGTTTATACACAGCACGAAACTTACAGATTGCCGACTTCGGACTTTCGAATGTTTACGATGAGAGGAGTCTCCTTAGCACATTTTGCGGATCACCTCTGTATGCCTCCCCTGAAATAGTCAAAGGATTGCCCTATCACGGACCTGAGGTCGACTGTTGGTCTTTGGGCGTTCTGCTATACACTCTCGTGTATGGCGCTATGCCCTTCGACGGCAGCAACTTCAAGAAACTAGTCAAACAAATATCGAGCGGAGATTATTACGAACCCAAACAACGTGCTTGTAAGTCTACCCTTCACTCCGAAAAAAGGAAGCTCTCATTCCTCCCGATTGGAAGCGCTTGTTCGGCAGTAATTTCCTTTCTGTTCCAGCCGCGTCGAGTCTCATCCGACATCTCCTCACTGTGGCAGCCTCGGACAGAGCGTCGATCATAGATGTATGCAAAAACAGCTGGGTCAACGAAACCTATGACACACAGCTGCTGCAAGTTGCAGAGGATCTGGCGAATCTGTCACCGGTTCGACTCGATCTACTCATCGCACTGCAGCCGCGAGCGGCATCCCAGGATTTCGCGGATAAAGAGCGCTTGCTATCGGACTCGAGGACCTGCCAAGTCATCCCCGGTGACCTGGGCGAGAAACATCTTGCAGCAGACGACGGAAACTCCGAGGACATCGCTGTTGAGAATGTCGAGTCCAGAGCCACTTTGATGCGCATGCCATCTTCATTGATCAAGAGTTCGGCTTCCTCAGGAACTCTCAGGTCATCGCCATCCACTTCCTCTCTCAAATCCGGTCAGAACGCTGGAGTGCGCATGAGCGCATCCAGAGGCAATGTGGACTCTGACGATGCGGGATCTATCGTCAGCAGCAATTCTTTTCAAGTTCAGACCGGAGTTGAACGTTCGAATGAGGCGCCCAGTGTGCGGCGAACCCCCAGTGGGAGAACTAATCGGGAAACGGTTCCGTTCCCATCAAAGAGCATAAGCAGAGCATCAATCGAGCTAAAAACGAAGGAGATCGACGAGCTCCCGCCGGTGGAAGCCCTCAGTGATGAAGCAGTTTCTCGCGGGGTTGCGCAGACGGATGTCAATATCAGAGCTCGTGCAGCAGGTACGAGTCCTTTGGAAAGCGTCGCACAAACGAAAGATGGACGCGCTAGTCTGCAAGACGTTCATATAGTCCCGAAAAAATTAGAGAGCTCGAAGAGCAAAGAGAACACCGAGGAGGAATCCCTACGCAGTCTGGTCTGGCCAAGCGAGTCTACCTCCGGGAGGAGACCCACGGGCCGACTGTCTCCCGAAGGCGCTACGGACGACACGAATGATTCGAAGCAATCGAGTTTGTTGGACCTGAATGAGAACTTGGTCCCGAGAGGACTTCCCATGAAATCATACAAGAAGTTCACTTTTGAGAGGAACGGCGGTCAGGTCGTCGTTCGGGAGAAGATTTGTCAGAAAGAACAACGTGACGGCAACAGGAGAATAGTTAGCATTGAGAAGAAAATGAGTTCGAGAACATCTTCCTGCGACTCAACGGCTGCTCCGGACAGCCTCGAGGGCGTGAAGGCGACTCGTAGAGACGATAGCTCAGACGAAGATGATTTCGACCTCCATTTCGATTCATCGAACGGGCCGATGGGGCTCCTGAACGTGATGAAGTTCATGGATCGGGATTTCCGGACGCGCTGGCAAAACCATCCGATTTTCCAAAATCTCTCGCGCCGTCCCCTCGGCATGACGTCGGAACTGATGCAGGTGAGTCAGCTCTCGACGACCAATCCGGCAGCCAGGATGCCTGGCTTCTGCCGCCGAATTATTCTGTCGCTCTACAGGAGCGCAACTCCGTTTCTCCGCAAGAGCTCTGACTCTGTTGCTCTCTATGTTCGTTAAGTGTCGGGCTGAAATGAAAATTTCCTTAGAGCTTGCAGGGGTCTCATCCTCGGCGGCTCCAGTCGCCTTCCCTGATGAAGATGTTTATCGATCGTGACAGCACGGTCTCAAGAGACGACGATGTTCGAACGTTCTTCGAAAGGCCTTATCCGTCGCTATCGAATCACAAGGCTCAAAATCCGGCCACATCTGACTTGGGGTCGTCGTCCGACAGGAAACTCAGTAGAGGCTCGTCGCTAGACCGGAGTTCTACAACAGCGTCACGGACATCGATGTCTCAGGTACGACGTGCCGACTCCATGCGTCGAAATTTGCTCGATAGATTTTGTTCTGAATCCCGGTTCTTTTTACGTACTTCAGGCGGAAAGCATTCCGCCCCAAGCTTGCGACAGTCATGCGTTCTACGCACCCGGTCGTAACATACCTCGTTACTCGCGCACTGTGAGTGATAAAACCCTCAGGGAATCTCGAGCGCATTCCCCGACCCTTGAGTTGAGAAGTCGAGCCCAACGGGGGAGACCATCTGTAGTTCATATGGAACTGAATTTCAACTGTGAGTCTATTCAGCGAGCTGATCCGAGTTTTCCATGGCGGGAGCGGTCAACGTAGTTTGGGTGCAGGGGAGAGCAGATCGCTCTCTGAGTGAGATTAGCCGATCACTCGGCCCGTGTGTGACATCAATTCGTACTTTCTTTAATTTTCCACAATGAGAGCGAACGCCATGTCTCTCGTGTTTCCAGCTCGGAATCCCGCTAGCATTGGATTGACGCATTCGTGGTCGAATCATGGCCTTTGGCATCAGCAGGATCATTCTCACCAGAGTAGTTCTACCTCGTCAACGCCCTCCAGGATAGAGATGCGCGTGCACTACTCTACGCCTACATCACCTCCTTCCACCCCACCTGTAGGCATGCCTCCGAAACCTCCCAAGTCTGAAAAGGATCAACGCTCGGGCTGCAGGAATACAGCGCAAGAAGAAAGCGTCAGCGACAGAATAAATCGGAGGAGTTATTATCATAGGTGTGAGGCGAGATTTGGCTCATATACACACGGAGATGAGGATGGTGCTCCGCCATCGGAAATTTCATAGGAGACTCATCACTATTCTTGATTCTCCAGATTCAGCAGCGTCGACAGACAAGTGAATACACGCCCGACGTCCACGATATGGGACCAAACTAGCGGCAACATGAGTGCTGGTGCTGGGGCGTTGTGGGAAGCCGCGTCTCCGGATAAGCCGCTAGGTGCTCCCCTTCCTGCAACGAAGCCACAGTCCACACCGGGAACGAACCCAACTAGCATATGAATTCTCATAACTTCAACGCCAGGCCTAGTTGTTACAGAGCTTCGATCATTCATCGAAGTCGAGTGGGGTATCTGACTATGTATAAATTATTCTTCTAAGCTGTTCAGGACAAGTTTCCATAACTGTTTTCATCACTTGGATGAGGACATTGTACCGAGGAAGCGTGCTCCTCTCGAGTTGTATTTGTATCACTCAGTTCTCGAGTCGATTCTATGGGAACCAATGAGCTCGGACTCTGAAGTATATATATATTGTTATATATTATATATGTAATAATAAAGGCTCTCATCCTCCCGAAATCGAGACGGACGTTTTTTTCTCGAACTCTGGGGTGGGGGGGTTCTCGGGCCACCGCTCCGTAGCCAATGCTGACTTGAGACCGGGGCCGCCGCCGCCCTCTGGTCTCCGAGGAGCAGCTCGATTCCGGGTATCTCGGAGTCGAGCGAGCGATGGACGCCGCGCTGGAGCTGTCGAGCTGTCGACCACCCTACTAACATCCTCGAAGTGTTCCGCGTAGTACCGCGCCGCTGCGATCCAGGTGCCCCACCGCGTAATCACTGGCTCCGGGGGCAGAGCGCCACCCGGAGCGAGGGTTCGGAGCACCTGAATCCTCGCCGGGGCTCTCGAAAAGACCTTCTTGACATTCGAGACGAGGGCATCTACATTGGAAAATAGCGCATATTACCCGTGCTTCGCCACGGGCCCGATCAGAGACCGATATTTCAGCTCAGAGAATTCGCGGATGTTTGGAATACGGTGCTGAGGGGTCATAATAATTTAAGGCTGCCAAAGTCAGATCTATTGCATGCCCCTCGACCTGATGACCAATAGTCTGAGTGTCCTGATAATAACTGTCGTTCGTTTCGACGTCGATATCAGAGTCCTCCCGCCGCTCCTTCCGCTGCGGCATATTGTCGTTGTTGGCGAGTCCGCGCTGCAGAAGGAGTCAGGCGTCCTAAAGCCGATGTACAGAGGGATGTTGGATTCCACAAGCATCCTGCAAAGATGGAAGCTGAAAGCATTCCCCCCGGAGACGAGGTTTGTGGGGAATTTTCTTCTCCTGGTAGGCTCTGCCTGAGAAATTGGAGACGCTACTGGTGGCCTGCACCGCAGACATACTGTGGCACGTAATACTTCCTAGAAGAATTCACTTCCGTGCCGCACTCTTTAGCACCACAGAACCTCCTCGTCGGTGCTGAATATTTCTGGTCCGAACTCGATCACGTATCCTTGGAGCTTTTCAGCAGGGAGCAAAGGTGTGACGACCCCCGTAGCCACTTCGGGTGCACGTCCACGATTCAGGACGTTCGTTCTGAGATAACCTTTCAGCTTATAGGAAAATTGAGGCTTACGTTGTTTCGGAAGGACTGAACTGAAGGACAGCCCGTTCCGCTATTCATTGACTATGACTCGGTTTTGAATATACGACTGGCCTCTGGATTCATTTACGCTCATGACGGTCCTCTCACGCACCGAACCCTGTGTCGAACTTCCGACTCGAATCCCCTGCTCCCTGCTGAGTAGTCTCTGCAGGACCTAGGTATGTTGCTCTCCGATCTCCAGAGTAAGGAGGTGAACTCGAGTGGTAGACTCGTTGTTGTCCGGAAAAGCATACCAGGCAGAGTAATGGAGAATACAGGCAGCATATGTGAAAATATAGGCTGCTCAGGCATTTCAGGCCATCCTCAGGCGTTTCTGGCATCCCAGGAGATATAGGCATTCAAGACATTCTGCCAAAGCTTCCAGCCTCAACTCTTTGACATAGACCCCACCGTTCACCGACCGACTAAGCTCTCATTGCCGTCGCTGCCACAGGTCCTCCTCCTCCTCTCCCCTTCGCACACTGTTCGAACCCTCTCTTGTTGACACTCCCGCTCAGCTGCTGCTCCCCCCTTCTGCGCAGATTGAAGTTAGGTATGATGATTCGCTCAGGTTTCGAGGGAGCGACTACGTTCTACTCGTGAGAAGGTTGGATAGAGGAGTCTTGCGCGGTTGGTGAGTCTCTTCATCCTACCATCTCCGAATGGATCGATTACCCTGCCTTCTACCGCTTATCTGACCCAACTCGGCGAAGCGGAATGCTGCGATCGGGAAAGATTGTATGTCTTCGGAGTTGATCGTTAGAGATGAATCGCGGAAAGATGACGAATGGAGGGTGAAGGATGTCTGGAGTCCTACAGGGGTCCCAAGGACCTGGAAGACAACTCATCTAAGGAGCACGCTGTTTTCCTCAGGAATGGCAAACGTTTTGAGACAGCTAGCTTCCTGCTCACTTATGACGAGGTCCATGACATCCGCCGCGTGTTCTTTACCAATCACCCATGACAGGAAGGAGCGTGAATTCTACATAAAAATAGGTGATTTGAGTCCTTTGAGATCCGAGAACTCCACCCCGTCAGAATCATCGGAATGTCTCCATCGTCATGGGGAACTCATTGGTGATTGATGAGATTTATAGCGATGAATGAGTCCCATGCGGACTCCGATTTTCGTCATCGAGAGGACTGCGGTTCACGACGCGACCGAGAGTCTACCGAAGCGGACTCAGGACGAGGTTTCTTCTCTCTAGGTGAGGACAAAGCCGTGCTGCAGTATGAAGAAATAGAACCCGGCTTGCTGAACCTCCTCCATACTGAAGTTCCGTCGGCCTTCCGAGGACGAGGCGTCGGGGCCTTATTGGCGAAGGAAGCATTTGACTTCGTCGCCGATCATGAGCTGAAGACTCGAGTGTCCTGCACCTATCTCATCGCTTATCTGAAGAAAGATGCGGGCAGACCTTATCTTAAATTCGTTACCAATCCATAGCCTAAGCGGAACTTGTTTTAGAGCAAGATCTCCGAGCTCTGTCTGTACTTCACGCTTGCACTTGAGTCTCCGAGAACTAAAAATCCCTTGCCTGTGCATTTTCAAGTCTGCTCGTATTCACTGT